CTAATAAATCCAATCATCCAAACTAGCACCCATCATTTCGTCACACGTACCATTCTACACGTGACAATATGCTACATGAATGTTCTACAGTACCATTATATAAATTACTGCTACATCTATTTTTACTTCAATATTTACTCATTTAGTCCTTCATTTATATTCCCTAAAAAAACAATTTAATTATATTGTAGCATAAGTTGAGTATGGGAGAGGGGGCCTACATGTCCCGTTTTCAGGATGCATGGAGACACACACCCTTATTCTAGTCGGTTTCAGTGACTGCCAAAGGATAACTGTGAACCCACAAAATACTTCTAGAATGACTGCTGCCATAGAATGAAAGAGCATGGTCGCAAGATAAGAAGGCAGTCTGAGTCAAAGTGACAAGTGGAGCAGATGTGGGTGACCAGTGTGACGGAAACAGATGTGACACAATGTATGCTGTCAGTAAAGAAGTTAGTTCACTGCTGGCAATGGCATGAACAGCATTACAGTTAAACAGCAGTGGGCAGAGGCAAACTGACATCAGGTTCATATGTGTCTACCGATAGGGACACAATAAACATTAAAATATGAAATATTTTCGGTTATACCAAAGTAAAAGAAATAATGCATAATACTTCTCCATTAAAGAAATCATAAGCTTCTTTCCCTTACACTCGTTAAATACATAACAGGTTATGGTTAACTGACCTTTCATGTCAAAATTTTCCAAAGACCTAAAGAGTTATGTCATGTCTTGAGTGTCTGATTTATCCTCAGTTCATTTAATTAATTACAGTAAACTTCCTAGGTTACATTGCATTAGCACAAAATGACTGGATGAGGTGTGAATGATGTGAAAGAAAGCTGCTGTGGCATGGCACTACCCTTGCATCTGCTAACCACTCAGCTGTAGTGTTCATATAAAATGCAGTGACATTTCTCTCAAGATATACCTCCATTTCTATTTTACAAACAGTTACTGTGGCTAATTTTTTCACTGCAGTGGCAGTTACTCCGACATCAACAGGCCCTAATATTTCCCATTCTAAAGATTTCTTAGCTCAATCAATGGGCCACTTAGAAACCTATTCAATATGGGGTGTGTTCAGAAAGCTCCAAAAATGTGTCTATAAATAATATCTATCGCTATCTCTATCCCCTTCACAATACTCCCCTTGCACAGAAATATACCTCTTCCACTGCCTTTTCAACTTCTGGAAGCACTGTTCAAAGGATGCTTGTGGTATCCCCTTCAAGAAATTTGTCGCATTAGTGATGTGTCTTCTATTGTCTGAAGTCTTCTTCCTTTAAGGGTTATTTTGAGTTTAGGGAATAGAAAAAATTTGGTAGGGGAGACATCAGGTGAACAGGGTGGTTGTGGAAGGGTAGGAATTGAATGTTTTGCCAAGAACTGTCTAACTGACAATGCTGTGTGAGCAGGTGCACTATAGTGATGGAGTGAGTTTCATGCAGTCCATATTTCAGGTCAATTTCTTTGTACTGCATCCCACAGACATATCAGAACCTCTGTGGCCTGCAGTCCACAAGTGAACTATAGAGACCGAGCAACTTGTTGGAGAAGTTAATGGCAACTTTAGCGGATAGAGGGTGTCATGTGGTCAGCACAATGGATCCTCCACGGGCTTTTAATCTCAGTTTTCTAGACCAGAGCTGCTATTTCCTTGAAATAGCTCCTCAAATATCCTCACAAAGCCGAGTGGACACCGTTCCAGATTCACTACTTCTCAGAAAATCTGGTAGCACTGGGAATCGAATCTAGGACCTCTGACCACTGGACCACAGAGAAAGTTGACATATCAAAACTGCCAGGTAAAAATCTCAATTAACTGTTCGACCTTCAGGAGCAAATTCATAATGCGTAATGCCTCAATGATCAAAAAGAAAATACAAGCAGCTCTGCTTTCACTTGTAAGCACACCTGTTGTGCTTCTTGTGGTGAGGCAAAGCTGGACTCTTCCAATGTGAGGACCACTGTTTAGTTGCAATGTTATAACCAAAAATCCAAGTCTCGTCACCAGTAATGACAAATGATATAACCTCCGTCTCAAGTGCAAACAATATATTCTTGTGTCTTTGATCTTGCTCCCTACACTACATGTTTCGGCCTCAGACGGCCATCATCAGGTGTATAACACTTACGTCGCTGTCACACTGCACCCAGTTCAAAATTTAACATCTAAAACACTCTCCCTGTCATTATCAACTTCTACTTCGTTGATAGCTGTCCACCCGTAGATTACTTCACACACGTTAATTTTGAGTTTATTGTAATAGCACCATAATAAAATCTTTAGTTCTAAT